GATGTCTTATAATTAGGACAGGAAACATTACGGGATTTCAGAAGGAATAGAGATCATTTTAGAGGGCACAGCATAGTGGAAATTATATAGACTTTAGAGCCAAGGTCAAGTTCTAGCCCAACCTGCACCAGCCAGCTTTTGCCTTGGAAATGTACTTTCCTTCCAGCTCCCTGGTTTAAGAAAAATGAATAATATAACCTCCCTTACAGGATTGTAATGAAGATTAGCAGTAATGTTATTAATAGTACCTAATAAGCCTGGCACCTGAGCAACACACCGTTGGTTGATCCTGTTCAAAAAGTCCAGCAAGTTCCTTGGTTTAAGTACTTGGAAATTGTTATATAAAAGAAGACTGGGAAAAAAAGAAAAAAGAAACAACTCTAGGTGGATTAAAGAATTAAATCTAAAAAAATGTAAACTTTTAATTTTTTTTAACTAAAAAGAAATGCAGTTGTATATTTAACTTTCCTCAGGGTGGGAAAAGACTTTCTAAGCCTAAAAACTGGGGAGGAAAGCTCTGGCCAGGTGGCTCAGTTAGTTGGGGCATCGGCCCCACACGCCAAAGTGTTGCAGGTCCAATCCCTGGTCAGAGTGAGTACAGGAGGCAAAAATCAATGTATCTCTCTTTCTCCCCCCACCCACCCATCCCTCTAAAATCAATAAGTATGTCCTCAGGTGAGGATTAAAAATAACAAAATACTGTGGCAGAAAGCCAAAGAAAGGTCAGTAGAGTAGACTCTAAAAAATTGGGGCTACTCTCCGTCAAAAACACAGATAGAAGGCAAATAGCAAATAAAAAAAATATTTGCTATTATAAACAGAAGGCAAATAGAAAATGAGAAAGTATGGCAGACAAAGGCAAAACATCTTTCTGTGGTTACAGAATAATAAAAAAATGTTAACATTTCATAAAACAGTGGACAAAAGTATGAACAGAGAGTTCACAGCAGAAGAAATACAAACAGCAAATAGGCATGTGAAAATTTGTTGACTGGGTTAATTAAAGAACTCTGTTTGAAGAATAAGTTGCCATTTCTCCCTAAATTTTTTTGTCATTGTGAGTTGAATATGTTCAGTATGGGTGATGCGGCAAGATAGACACTATCATTTTTCATGATGGAATCATTAATTGCCACAACCTTGTAAAGAAGGCAGTCTGGTGGTATAACTCAAAGTGCCTTAAAGTTCGTGCCCTTAGATCCTGTAATTCCATTTTTAAGAATACATCCTAGAAAGAGACTCAGAAATATTTTGTCCAAGATCTGTGTGCAATAGCATTTTCTTTCTTTCTTTTTTTTTTTTTTAAGTAGTACCTGCATAGGAAAATTTCACTCTCCGAACATGTGCCCCTGCTGTACCCTTACTGCTAGCACAGTGCCTAATGTAAACAGGTGGTCAAAAAATATTTTTGAGATTAAAGAAAGAAGGATGTGTTCAGACCCAGGAGCATCATATAGCCATATTTTTGAAATACTGTATATTTAAGACATAGAAAAATGCTCACAATATAGTGTTAAAATGTAGAGTACATGGTTATATCAATAGACTATTCCTGTATGTGTGCTGTATGAATTCTAGGTGGTAGGATTAAAGGTGATTCTTATATTTTCTTCGTGCTCTCCCTCAGCCATTTGGCACATATTTCTTGATATGTGATAACTGGCACGGAGCATATTTTGAAAGGGCAATACCGCATAGTCCTCCCCTTGTGTGTTTCGTCAGGAAATAGGAAGGTAGACATTGAACAAGTAATTATAAGAGCATTACATATTTTAATAAAATTATGTTAATGTTATAACAGAAAGAAACACTATGCCAATGAAGATTTTCAAGCACTGATGGTTATTCTTAATTTCTAAGACACTTTTTTAGGACAAGGAAGGAGTAATTACGTGAAAAATCTATGTACATAAAGTGTGGCATTATCTTTTCAATGAAAAGAATGTTTAAATTTCCTCTCTGTTGGGTGGTTAATAATGACATAATAAATAGACTTAGAGGCCATGGCTAGGCAAATGGCTAGGAGTTGGTTAGAGCATCGTCCTAATATGCCAAGGCTGTGGGTTCAATCCCCTGTCAGGGCGCATACAAGAATCAATGAATGCATAAATAAGTGGAACAACAAATCATTGTTTTCCTCTCTTCCTTCCTCTCTCTCTTTCTCTCCGGCCCCCCAAACTCAATAAGTAAAAATTTTAAAATAAAATATATAGACCCAGACGTTTCTTCGTAAATAACATTTTTCTAAAGGGAACTGCTCATATCTTGGTGAAGCGGACATGAGAGTTGTGGAACTTTGGGGAAGCCCTGTCATTCCTTGGAAATGGTGATTAAGTCCTCAAATGAACTGGGTTTGGCTGGGAGGAAGTGAGAATGATCAGCACAAATATAAAAATACATATTTTTTCCTTTTTTCACGTGTGAGATTTCCAATGTGTGGAAAAACAAGTACAGCAACAAATAAAGCCTCCCCTGTAGACTGACTGTGATCCTAAAAGCTTCTTTTAACTGGGATCAGGGATGGAAAATTTTATCCTAAGCCATGGGTTTTACATGGACGTGTTTTATTTTTTGTTTTGTTTTGTTTTGAAGAAAGACCCGAGTAAATCCAAAGGATTACGAAGACGCCGTTTGGTACCTTAGCCATGCAGATGGCTGCGAGCACTCCTCCAAACAGTCACACTTGTGCCGCCACTGCTGCTTATCTCCGTTATCAGCTGGAGGCTTTATGCGCAGCCTTGTGAGCTCCTCTGGCATTTTTTCTGCTTCTTGAGTGGAAAAAGTCTCTGTGCCTCTCGGTTAGGTTCAGCTGGTGGCACTGCAGTCTGTTGCCTCTCTAGCCTCAGGAGAAGGAAACCTTTGTGAGCTTGGTGTTCCCTTGCCCTCTTTTTTTATCTCCTGCAAATCAGGAAAGCATTTTCTAAGCCCAGGGTGTTGGAAGGAACAAATAACAAGCCTCAAAGCAATGGAATCGCCTTTCACAGTGGTTCCACAGAGTGTTGCTCTTTCCTTTGGGGACTGGATTAGAGTAGCTCTCGCCCAAGTGAAGGCTCACACTCTTCTACTTTTTGGTCCAACTCATGGTTATATGGAATGGAATTTATTTAACCCAGCCTGAGGCTTTCTCTCATTTGAAAAACTCAGATCTTGGGAGCATTAAGTGAAATATAGACTTATTGAACATCACTTTCCATCAGTGCTGATATTTCCCTCTTGTATTTGGAATTCTCTTTCACTTGCTGGGTCTGTTCCCTGCATCATGTTTCCAGGTAGAATTACAGTGCTTGCCTTTTCTCTTCCACTGGCCTTAGCAACTCCCCCCACCCCCGCAATATTGTTTTTAATGTTCTATGAGATCTTCATCTCAGGATTGTCTTCATGTTGTGGTTAAGTGTCTTCCCTCTCTACTGCATTTCCCTTTCCTGTCCTAGTGTCTGTGCTTGATAGATTAAGACCCCGTTGTACTCCCTGATTAGGTAGAGGGCAGCAGGTCTGCATCCAGCTGTGCAAACCTTGATCTGGCAAATGACTTCACAGCCTAAGCCCTGCAGCCTTGGGCCGTCTGCTGTCACGGATAGTGTACTCCTTTCCGCGTCTTCTCTCCAGTGGAACATACATCTCCTCTGTCTGAAGTACTTATTTCAGAAAGCGATCTTTTGCTTTTCTTAGATGGAGCTTTTCTGAGAAGGACAGGGTCACCTTCCCACTGCTGTCTGGTTGGTGGAGGGGTCAGGGGTAAATGCTTTTGATTTACTCCCACGACTGGAAGAGAAAGGTGGCAGACACAATTAAAATCAATCACTGAAACGAAGTTATTTCAAACATTGTCTCTTATCATTTGCCTGTAAAAATTATGAGTTTGCTTACAAAGTCACTGCCAAAGGTTAGGGCCTGGACCTTAGACTGTTTATGCAAGTTCATTATTGTTTTGATTTTCATTTTCCTGGGGGAAGTTATTATAAACAGTTATGTTCTCAGAAGCACCCTACAATAATAAACATAAACATAGTATTGCAATGAAATAAATTCTGTGCTCACCCAGATGTAATCCCGTGCATTGGAAGTGAAGCAGATGAATGGATAGACTGCCCAGAATTGAGGTGAAGAAATCAGGAGGCTCGGCTCTGTCCCAGTCTCAGCTCGCGACATGCTCTTTGTTGCTGTAAGCACGGAAGTTGTGTAATGCACCCGTCAGCTGTGAAGGAGGAATAACACCACCTGTTGGCTGTTTTGCAGGCTGTGCTATAGAGCTTTGTACAGTATTGGACGTGACTTGACCTTGAGCTCCCTGGAAGAAAGGGGCAGTGTAAAACACCAGGCATTTGTATCCTAGGTGTTCAGGAATTGTGATCCATTTTCCAAGGCTTAAACGGCAACACTGTTCTGGTCGAGCCAGAGCTCACTTCTCTCAGAAGACCTTTCTGGTGACTGTTCTAGAACAGGAACAGATCTCCAAATCACCAAAGGACAATAGGAATAGTTGTGACTAGTTTTAACCTAGGTACTGATTAGTGAATTAACATAAATTGTGAAAGGTGATCAGAAATTGTCATCCCATGTCTGGTTTGAAAGCCCGTTTTCCCACACTGTGTCAGAACACAGTGCAGCATAAAGCAGATGTAAAGCGTTCTTCTATAAGTGAATTTTAATTCTTTCGTAGACCAGAATGGGCTTTTTTTTTGGGCATTTTGGATCCTGATAATAATAATAGCTGGCACTTACGGCAACGTACTGTGTGCCAGTCTCCAGGTGATTGCCACGCACTATATCGCTCGAGGCTTACAACAGCCCTGCGTGGCAGGTGCTGTCATCACCCCCACTTTACAAAGGACCAAATTAAGGTACAGAGAGGAGAAATAACTGGCCTAAGGCCAAACACCTGCCAAGCGACAGAGCCAGTCAGTGACCCCTGCAGAAGAGAGGCGGCCATCTCTTTGACCAGAACCATGTTCTTTTGCATCTTGATCACACAATTCAGTGCAGCGAATGCTGTTTTCTAGGAAGAGAATGGAGACTACACATATGTGGAACAAGTGAAGATACCTTTGGATCATGGGACCTTGTTAATCATGGAAGGAGCTACGCAAGCTGACTGGCAGGTGAGAACATGCAAGTAATGTGGATTTGCTCTATGTGGAGGCAGCTTCCTGACTGACAGTTAATTTCTATAGTAAACATGGCACAAAGCAAGTGGCTTTTATAATGAGCAAGAGGCAATAAAGTGACATTATTGTCAAGGAGTTTCGATACCACTGACAGTCAGACTGGACCTCTACAGCAGCGGTGTGTCCCAGAGAACTTGCTGCAAGTTATGGAAATGTCCAGTGCCTGTGCAGCCCAGCGCAGGGGGCCACTAGGCACATTCGACTGTGGGTCTCTTGAAATGCGGCTGGCAAGCTGGGGAGTGGAATTTAAACACACTAGCTTCAGAGAGCTAGCGACTGGCATATTGAGCTGCATAGCTCCACAGCTTAGGCCAGGTCGTTTTAAAGGCAGGTCAATTTCTTTTTCTTTATCCTCACCTGAGGACAATTTTTCATTGCTTTTAGAGAGATAGGAAGAGAGAGCGAGAAACATCGATGTAAGAGGGAAGCACCAACTGGTTGCCTCCCACTTACACCCAGACTGGGAATCGGGGATTAAACGTGCAGCCTGGGTAGGTGCTCTGACCAGGAATCAAACCCACAGCCTTTGGTTATGGGACAAAGCTCCAGCCAACGGAGGCCCACCCACCGGCCAGGGCAAGGCAGGTCCTTTTTAAGGTATGCAAATTAATGCAAAAACACTTAGTATGAGAGCAGATCCCGTGTCTTTTGCTGGTGTCTCCTAGTGAGAGTGGGGGTGGGATTTGTTTCAGAGAAGAAGAGAGGAAGGCCTTTCTCCACAAGACGGTAAAGATCTTATCGCTGCTCATTTAAGGGAGGATAAAATCAAAACACATGTACTCATGAATATAAGTTTCAAATGGCTTTGCAATAAAAATGTGTGTGCGTTTACGTGAAAGTTATTTCTATTTCCATTTAGCATCGGGTGCCCAAAGAGTACCACTCTAGAGAGCCAAGAATAAACCTGACCTTTCGGACAGTCTACCCAGACCCTGGAGGGGCGCACTGGTGATGGGAAGGAAGCCTTTGAGAGAGAAGCTGTGCTGAGACTGAGCAAACCGTCCACCGTGAAAAGACTTCAAAAGGCTGGTCCAGCCGATCTTCTGGCTCGGCTGTTTGGAAGATGAGGGTGGAATTGACTACCCAGCTTAGAGTCCTATTAAGTGCCAGCCCGCAGTTCATCTTCATAATATGTTTACTGCAGAAACAGTAGTCCCTAATCACATCTTGAAATCACATATTTTGTTTAGGCAAATTACTGTGGCTGTGCTCACAGATGATTCTGTCCATAAGCAGTTTTTCTCCTGCTGTCCCCTGCTTTGTTTGAAGAAAAATGAATGGCCTCTGCCCCTGGTATAAATCCACACGTGTTTGTTCCTTGTGACTTCAGTGAAGTGGAGATGTAAATATGCGTCAGTGACGCTGGAGCCTTTGGTAGACAGACAGCTGCTGAAACCCAAACAGAGGTGGTTTCACAGAGCTTTGTTGGAGTCAGCCTCACCCTGACTCCTTAACGTTTCAGCTAGTGCACTATTGTAATGGAAAGCTTCATGTTCTGGAAGCACTGTATTTAACTGTGTCCTTGCCTGACAGTCTTCCCTCAGGACACTCAGGCAGGCTACAGGCCTGGGGATAAAGAGCGAAGGCCATGTTCTCTAGGCCGGCCATCTTCAAGCCACCACCTGAACCTACTTGTAATCCAAGAGAAAACTGTCCCCTTAAAGGGAGGAATACTTGACTGATGTCATGAGAAATTTAGGCTCAGAGCAGCAAATGCCCTGCTAGTGACAGCTGTTCCACATAAATTCGTTTCCCCTAGAGAATGACTGGAGTCATTTAAACCCAAACCGGATAGAAGCCAGAGCAGTTCTGCAGGGGATAGACTCAGTGACCTAATAGTTCTCCTTGCTTTAGATTTCAGCAGCCCTGTGACTAAGGCTTTCTTCTGACTCAGTTTCCTCCTAGACACAAGTTCCCAAGATTCAAGGTTGAGTCCCTGATGTCACTGAAGCTCCCAAAACAGAACAAAGTGGCTGCCCCTAATTGCATCATAAAAGCGCGTGTTGTCTTGACCTCTGACTTCAGGGCACTGTGCCAGATTAATTCCAAACCAAGATAAGGAAAACCTGAGAAAAAGAAAATGGGTGAAAATAGGGCAAGAAGTTAGAGTTTCCCTAGCTGCCTGTGGGGAAAATTTACAGAGCCGCCTTGCTTTTGATCTTGTTTCCGATCTATGCTGTAAGATCGATGATCCCGTGACCATGGCAGAGCGCCAGAGGCAAGGCAGGCACTGCCCCAGAACGGAGATGTAACGCCATGGCTGGCCAGGCTCTGTTCTCTGACAGGCTCTCCAGCAGGCTTGCTGGCTTCTTGTATTGGAGTCCCTCCACCTTTTTTTTTTTTTTTTTTAAATGTTGTTGCATGGGTACAGCTCCTTTCTCTAAGAAATCCTCAATGCTTTATAAAATCCGAGCATCACACTCCTAAGTCGTCCTGTGAGGGAGGTACAAATCGCCATAAAAATAAAACCTCCATTTACTTCCTTGCTCTTCTATTAAAACAAACAAAACCTGGTGAGGGTGGTACAGCCAGTTTTGGTTCTGAGTTGGATACATGACACTGGGAAATTCCTCTTCCATTCCCAGACATGCAAGAGCTGGCAGATGGTGCCAAGTCTTACAGCAGCCTTCCTAGTGTAGGGTCCTGACCCCGCTGCGTCAGCTGCAGATTGGATCTCTTCACTCATCACGGCCACGTCTGTCAGGGAGACAAATTCCGACTCGACAGCAGACGCCTGGGGCTGCCACTCGGGTTCCTTCCTCCGAGAGGGCAGTCTTAGGTTTTTTTCCTTGCTGTCACATGCCAGAACTGCCATTTTCCCACCACTAAAATAATGTCCCTTCTGAAATGTGAAGTAGATGGTTGCCACAGAGTAATAGTACTGGGTTTAGGACCAGACAGGAATTGCAGGTGCTGGCGAAGGGTGGCCATGCTCGGTGACTGCAGCGCCCTGCTGCTGGAGCTCATTGGTGGTAGGTCTTCACTAGGAACTAGGGGGGAGCTGTGTTCACCACCATGACTTGTAGAGCAGAGGAAACAAATACGATGGCTGTAACACGAGGGGAAAAAAACCAAAACAGGCTTAGTTTTTCAGCTGCCCTTTTTTTGAGCTTTAATAACCTGCCGCACACTGTCCTAGGACCTTTTTATGCATAGTCCCTAACCTTCTCCACAGCTCTGCAAGAAGGATACTGTTTCCATTGTAGAGCCCAGGCAACTGAGTCTTCAAGAGCTTAAGAAATCTAGTAGGACTTACAAATGGCAGGACCAGGCTTCAAATGACAGGCTAATCCCTAAACTGTGGTTTTTGCCTCTGCCGTAATGATTTTAGGCAGAGTAGCCTACTCAGCATCTCTGGGACCCTGAGCCTCAGTGTTTGCTCTTGCAAAGCTGGTGAGCCTCCCACCCACCTGGTACCTGCTGGCAGAACTGAGGACCCAGCCACCTTGTTTGTTCCCCGGCTTTCCTTTGCATCAGGGCAGACATCCATACCTCCTCTCTCGTATTCAACTTAGCATCTCCTAGTCGGAAACCGTGCTGCCAAATTAGTCATTTTACCTGGGAAGTTCATGGCAGGGGTTGGGGAGGGTGGGGGCGACAGGGGCAGAATCCAGTCTCTGGTGAGTTAGACAAGTTCTTATCCAACCTTCCTGGCAAATAACAGTGCTTCTTGACCACATCTAAGAAGCTTCCAGAGGTGGATGAGTGGTCCCCTCCTCCCTTCACTCTTACCTGTGAGTATATTTGGGGACTGTGAATGATGTCCACACTCAGCATCAGGCTTCTTCACAACACTTCACACCACCAATCGGCAGACAGCCCAAGAGAGTGGCTCAGGTCGCATACGGGCAATGTGCCTCAGAGTGCAGGTCTTTGGAGCAACTGCACCTGGCATCAGACTGCATCCCCGTATGGAAATGAGGATCCACATTGTCTGCTGGACTACTGACACAGGTGGCACTGGCGATTCCTAGTAAGTTAGGGTCACAGCTCAGAAACCTGCCATTTCCCAGTGGCAACCACTCCTTGCTCCATCCATGGCTGAAGCAACCCTGCCCTAGTGAATGGCTGGTCTCCCTGGATCTGATCAGCGCGTGGCACCTTCTTTTGACTTGTGTCAAGAGTTAGGCGGGTGCCGCGATGGGCAGAATGCCCCCGTCAGAGGGCTTCGAGAAGGCTCTGACCGCGATGGGTCCCTACCCTGCCGGAAGTATTTCTTCCTTGAGTTCTGGCAGCTTTTACTTGGCGGCAGAATATCTGAGACCCACTTTGCCTTTTCTGGTCATAAACACTTGTTGTGTTGAATCTGAATTCTTGATAATTTTTCTTAACAATGCCTTTGAAAAAGCCAAATGTTTCCATAGTAATGCCTTCTGTTTGTTTAAATCCTTACTTATACATGCTTCCACCCACATGCTCTGCTCAGAGGGGCCTAGTCGACAGCGGTCCCCTTGCCCCCTCCTCATTTTCTTTTTGGAAGGAACACCACAGGAGGCGCCTGTCAGTTTTGTGCTGCTGGAATCCATTCTTAGATATGATTTCTGTGTCTGGGGGTCAACAGGGACGTGTTTATTTATTAGAGTGGAACAGACTAATGGTGCTTTTTCCAGCTGGTGCTTTTTACCGCTGTGCTGAATTACAAAAGCTGGGCTGGGCTGGGCTGTTTTTCAGTGTTAAAGCTGGGCATGGGGGCCGGTATCTAAGCGCAGTGTAGAAAAACAGGGTAAGTTAGGCAGTGCCATTGTAGCCAGCATTACCTAAAAGATTATTTTGTCAAATGAGCAAACTTGAAGCTGACCAAGGTATGTGTGACAGCATTGTCATTTTACTTATTTCTGTGCTGTCACCCCCGCCGCCCCCCCCCCCCATGGTAATGTGACATCACATTCCCTGGACTCCAGGGAAAGTCCCTTTCTCATGTGGCCTCCAGGAGCATGGGCCTACTCAGGCAGCGTCCTGGCCTCTGACTCAGCTAGCTTTTATCTCTGGACGCAAATTCCACGTTTCGGAAAGGGAAGGAAGGGTGAAAGCCAGGAGGGGGTGTAGAGTTTACTCTGTTAGACCTGTTACATCTATAGTCTGATTTATTCCTAAAGGTGGCCCGATGAGGTTGTTGGTTGTGGTGTATTTTTTAGCAGATGATGACACTGAGGTCCCTAGAGGATTGGCCGGATCGGGCAGGCCCTGCCTGGCTGCAGGCCGGCAGGCATTCTGTGATGTCCGGCCTCCTCCCCCAGCAGCAGCAGCAGCTGGAGTCTCCTGGGGCTGGAAGGGCTCTGTCTTCTTAGCTCATTTGCTGGGAAGCAGTGGGAGAGACTCCGGTCCTTGCATGGGAGCCTGGAAGCCTCTCTTCATGGGGAGAAAGCCTGGAGGAAAGCGTGGGCCAGCCAGGGCTCTAGAGGGCCGAGGGCCACGTGAGCAGGTCGCAGTTTTCCTCCCACTGCAGAAAGGGCTTGGGCGAGCGTGTGGTGAAAAGCACCTGCCGTGCAGAGCCTGTGACAATCCAGATGCCTCACCACTGGATCTGGCCAAAACCTTTCCTGCTGCAGCTAGTGGTGGAGACAGAAGGGCTGCCTGCCCCGTCCTTCCAAGAGGCTAAAACAGGAAGGCAGCCCAGGCCTCTCTGTGGGCCTTCCAAAGGCGGAGTCTGAACCCCTGCCCTCCTGATTGGTGATTGGAGAATGGGCGTGGGTAAGACCATCTAAGAAGGGACTCTACCCGCCCACCAAAGCAACTCTGCTTGGGGGCTGTATCCTCCCTTTCTGAAGAATCTTGGTGGGATGGGTGGATGAAGGATGCCAGGGGTGGGGGAGGGGGGTTTGGCGGGGTGGGGGTGAGGGCGGGATGCTTCCCAAGCTCTAGCCCAGGGGTGTTCAGGTCGTAGGGACCACCCAGGCGGGAGAGGAGGGGAGCCCCACCGAAGTATCTCCCTCATCTCTCATTAGTTAGAGAAATCTTTTCTGGAATATTTCTTCTGAAAATATATCAAGGGATTAGCCACCCATTTCTTCCCTACAGCCCCACCCCTCCCCCATCTGGCATTAGCCTTTAGCCTCTATTCCCCTGGAGTGAAGGGGAAAAGAAGACAGCTAGTCCGGGGGTGAAAATCCTGGGGGGAGCCTGAGTGTGCAGCTCTCCTCCCAGGGTCCTCTGCCCTCCCCCAAGTTTCCCTGTGCTGGGAAGGGTGGGCCAGAGAGGACATGGTGAATTCTTGTGCACACCTTGCCTTTTGTTGCCCCAAAGTCATGTCTGGGTGTAGGTTAGGGACTACCCTCCCCATTGGACAGATGAGAAGGCTGAGGCCTGGGAGAGTTAAGGGCTCACCTGGGGGCCACCAAAGGCATGAAGAGCCAAGCCAGGTGCCAGCCCAGTGTGCTTCCCACCCTTCTGGGGTTCTGTGACCTCCTCTGAGGTCCCCGGCTAAAAGCAGAACCTGGTAACACAAGGAGAAATGGGCACAGACAGCCCCAGAAGGTCACTGCCTACCGGGGCAGCCCTCCCAAGGAGTGGCAGGGACGGTCTTCCTGCCAGTTCGATATGTGGCAGAGATCTCTGCTGCAGCCTGGGGTAGCAGCCTTAGGTTGCAGTCCCCACCAGAAATAGTGCCAGCCGAGCTCGCACCGGCTGATGAGGGGACTTAGCTGGACAACTTGGACAACTTCAGGCAGGCCTGGCCCAGATTTGCCTTTGTCCCAGAGGCAGGGGCGGGGGCGGCAGGCCTCTCTTACGGTCACAATGCTGCCTGCAAGGGTGAAATCAGGGAGCAGCCATGACACCCCCATCCCCGCCTCAGCCTCCACGCCTGTCAGAATTACTGCCTGGACCCTCGTGGAAAGAGCCTCAGCTTGAGTCAGGCAGACCTGGGCTCCACTCCCACTCTACCCTTCCTCGCTGAGCCCCCCGGGACCGATCCGTCAGCCCCCAAGTCTCAGTCTCCTTAGCTGTGAAATGGACACAGAAGCAGCCATCTCTCCAAGATCTTAGAAGGGTCAAGAGCATGACTATAACATGCCTGACAGTAATGCCCTTAGTGATGTAATTGTTTTAAGTAGAACATTCCACCTGCCCTGTTACCCCCAACTCTAATGCTCATGCTGGGTGGGTGATCCCTCTGTGGCTGACCGATGGCCTTGTGACCCTGCCCTTCCCCTTGGCAGGCTCCCCTGGTGCCCATACCTCTGTGGCATTTAGCAAGCATAGGCCCAGAGGCTTTGGTCAAAATGAAAACTGTTCACAAGTGAGGCTGATCATATTAAGATCCAGTTGCACTTAAGCGTCTCCTGGGAAGTTCTTTAAAACAATCCGAAGAGAGCTCCCAGATGCCAAAGTGGCCTCGAGTCAAGGCTCAGCTCCCTCTCAGCAGCCCCACCACATGCTCCCCAGGTAATTGGTCTCCCAAATGCACCGCCCTGGCCTGATGCCACCCCCTCTTCCCCCTCGGGTCAGA